CCTTTCTTCTGTTACTCCTTGGCTCGATTTTACTGTTGTCTTTCGGCCACACTCCTGATTTTATGATAGGTAAGATCTAACATCTAGCCATCTCGGATAAGAGCGACAATCTCGGAGGTCCCGTGTGCAAGTTACGCACGTTAAGAGCCCTTGGTTGTCCAAAATCGATATTATGTAGGTTTTGGCCGCCACCCATGCAAAATTCAAAATTAGTATCTTACCAAAATAAAAATATATTATGTGTTTCGCGAGCTCATAAGACCTTATGCAGTTGCAGACGCCTTAAAACACTTTTTTTTTAAAAATCCTAGGCCTGTCTCACCAGTTGTCTCCAGGAATCTATAGGCCTTGATTCTTGCAATGTCCGGATTATGAACTACTTACTTACTTTACTTTTACTTTTCCATCCTCTGTTGCCGTTAAGCGTCGAGGGGAGATGCAGTTTTCTATGGTAGGCCTGCTCCGCAGTTCTTTCAGTTGTGATATTACGTTTTCTCAGGGTTTCCTTGACACCCTCTATTCACCTTTTGGGTGGCCTCCCTCTTCCTTTATAGCCTGAGTGCTTAGAAGTTGTAGGCTCTCGAGGCTGGTTGGCCAGGTGACATACATAACAGGTGGCCAAACCATTTTATTCTCTGTCTTTCTATGTATTGCAGGCAGGACTCAATGCCGATAGCAGCTCTTACTTCTTCGTTTCTCTGCCTGTCTCGTCTTGTGATGTTAAGGGTTTTGCGGAGACATTTCATTTCGCATGCAGTGATTTTGCTTTCATCGGTTTAACTTAATGTCCAGGTCTGGCACTGGTAGCATAATTGTGGTATGAATCAGGGACGGTTTGTTAACTGGGCAAGACCAGTTCAAATTTTTGTCAGCTGCGCTGTTGACAAGAGATTTATTGCTAATGATGATTTTCATCCAGTTTTAAGTAAATCCGAATAAACACGTATCAATAGTCAAAAAGCACCTTGCCGATTTGAAGGCGTTCAAATAGACAAGTGGGATTCACTGCTGTTTTGTCGCGACAGAGCCTTATCCGTCAACTTTGTTTATCGCACCGGCTCGTAACTTTAAATCGTCTCCCGTCAAGCCGCCACGTCGCGGAACTGCGTACGAGGACAAACGAACACGGCGGGAGCGAATATAGCATCACTAAATTGCCAAGTTGGCCTCAGCGTTGCTTACAAAATCGGTAATGAGACTGTCTTGAGTCATGAGCAGCACAGACACATGAAATATTTCATCAGCAATACATGTACTTATCATTCAGCCTTTCTCTAACTATCATCAAAACATATACTGTCAGCATGGCACTAATCTTTTTTGTTTATTGAATTTTTAGCCACCTTTAGTTCCTGTTTGGTGACTATGCATCGCTTTCTCCCCACTAATAACGTACCTGGCCCATATGAGTTTAGCCGGCGAAAAGAGGAATCGTCTAGTGAAGATATGTAAGTAAGGAGAATTATAACGAGGAGCGATAGGCTCTCGGCTGTCAGAGTCTGGGCCGAAAACAATGTGCCTATCCCCTCCCTTCCCTCCCCTTATCCTCCGTCAGTCACCCCAGCTAGACACCAAGTTCTATAATTAGCGTTTGACACACTTCCCCACTTGGCACTTTGTTACAACAGTGTTCTGAGAACGGAGAAGTGTGATGAAGAACGTTTGATTACACAATGATGGAAAACTGTTGTGTGCTAACTTTGTTCAGCTTTTTATAGTATCTAATCGTAGACTTAATCTGCATGGGACAACGTCATTGGTACAGTATCAATTGACTTTTTGCCATCATACAGTACTGTTCTTATTACATATTTATAGGTCGAGTGCACGTCGATATTGTGTGTGGGTGTGTAGAAAGTAAAAGTACCGGAGGCCATGACCAGCAGTTTATTGTGCTTCTCACTTTCAGTTTGTTTTCTAGCATAGACTCTAGTAGTGTTTCTTTTTCTATGCCGCTCAAGTCAGTTTCTATTAACTCAGTAACTTCCATCATACATTAGTCATAATATTGTTTCTTGACACTACCATATTTCAGCCCTTTCACTTTATATTAAATTTTTTACAGTGGTGTGTGTGTGTGTGTGAGAGAGAGAGTGGGGGAGGGGGTGGGGATGGCGAAAGTAGGGGTATAAAATGAGGAGAGAGAGAGAGAGAGAGAGAAAGAGATAGAGAGAGAGAGAAAGAGATAGAGAGAGAGAGAGAATGTGTTTGTGTGTGTGTGTGTGTGTGTTTGTG